TCGAAAAAGAAGAAGTTTGTTTTGTTAGACCATATTTCAAAGGCATACCGTATGGGCTCCATGAAGTCTTGAGGAAACCCACTTTGAAATCTATAGAAAAGTAGGGTTTCAGGCCATTTTCTGCGACTTGGAAAGAAAGTGAATTGTGAAGTATTCAAGGGGTTGGTGCTACGGTACATTTTGTTGGTTCCATTGATTATGTCGGGTACCCCGCATCGAGGCGTCATCATTTTCGACATTGTATGAGAATCTAAAAATCCAGTAATGTCGAGGTTGTGATTGAGTTGGTAAGTTTTGATTGCAGATTCTAATGTATTGTCGAATAAATCCTTATGGTTAGCATCAAGAGTACTGAGATAACCAAATTGGTAGAGGTATTTCTTAACTTGATGGAGTCCTTCAATGCTATCACCCTTTCTAGAACTTTGTAAATTATTGGAAAACTCAAAAGGTGTCGTTATCACGATCGAGTCCTTCGTTGTAAGAGTGCGACAAAGAGCGCGAGGGGTTAGGAAAAGGAGGAGGATGCAAACGAAAAATTGACTAACTATGGCTGCCATGCGGGATGATGTGAAAAATACAAAGATATAGACCTTATTTATAAAGTCTTCGTTCAAGAAATCCAAATTCATTTAGGAAACACAAGGAACACATGAACGGATTTATATACAATCAATTTGGCAGCCATAAAGTTTGTGAGAGAGAGAGAGAGAGAGAGAGAGAGAGAGAGAGAGGCCATGTTGCTGGCCATTTAATTTTGTGCATAGAGAATTGAGTAGGTGAAGAAAGCTTTGTAGGTTAAGTTTATTGGGTTAAAGAAGTCTCATTTTTTGTGAGATTGTTGACAGTTAAGTCAAATTACATTTAGGAACCATTTAACAAGGTTTTCGTTTATGGTTCTCCTTCTTATAGAAGAAATTCTCGAGAAAGTTATGTTAAATGAACTGATTTTAAAAGATCTTCTAATCAAACAAAACACTTTAAAAACTTATCCAAATATGTTCAAAAGTAGATTCTTAATCTCAAAAGCAAATTTTGACTTTTGAAGAACCTTGCCAAACAGACCTTAGTTAGCGTGGTTCTCTCTTTTGTGACCGTCGTCTTTCATTTCTGTTGCATTCGCTGCACATTTGAGGTGGATTTTTTCCAATAGAAAATACCACAATATAACCAAAGAACATGATAATTAACTATATTTACATGTGAGAGGCATGCTAAGACAAAATTTAAATAATATATATGTAACGCTCTCAATGACATAAATTTTTAGATCGAGTTGTTCAAATGAGATCACACTAGATACAACTGAACAAAAGTGATAGACCCCGAGTTAGATCTCGATGGCCGGAAAAATTGGATGTTGGTTTTTATGGCATCGACTCCCGACACAATTCCTCGATAGAGAGTAAAAGATACCGATAGATTATCACGTGAAGGGGAGTCAAGATGATGCTACACTCGGTTTGAAGGTGAATTGTTGGAAAAATATGAACAAAGTCCCACATTGAGTAGACATTATGAGCTTACAAGTGATTAGGCAACTCCATGATTATGTCCTACTAAATATATTTAAGTTATGTCTGATATGTAATAGATATATAATATACGAAACAAAAAAGACAGACGTGTTAATAGAAATAGGGGTGGACATAGTTAGATTTGGATTAGTTTTTGAATTACTTTCAAAGCGAACTTTTTAAAAGGTTTAGAATAATTTCAAACCGAACCAAATCACTTCATTTTTCAAACAAAACCAAACATTATCAAACCATTTTTTGCATTTTGATTTGGTTTCAAACCATGATTTAATAATTTCTTTCAAAAAAAATTGAACAAATAAATATTTTAATCTAAAGTGCACTATATGCTCAATTGAAACTTTTAAACATAAATATATTTGTTTCAATACAAGCTTAAGCTTACAATTTCATTCTTTAGATAAGAAAAATATTATCACAAACAAATCATTATTTTCCTAAAAAAATCAATAGAAGCCAATTAATAAGTAATTTGTTGAAGTATACATTGAACTAATAAAATATATCTTAGATAAAATAATTAATTTTTTTTTTTTTTAAAAATTGAACGAGGGTTAGATTCCAAACAATTTTTAATTATTGAAATTTAAACCACCTAGAACAAAACCCACAATTTCAAAACGTGATTTCATTTTAATTTGACAGATTGACGATTATTTCACCCTTAAATAGAAATAAGATAATTAAGTTTTGATCTTATTCGATCTGTCATAAGAAAACAGATGTTTTGTTTTTGAAAAATGAGAATCATATTTTTATTGAAATGCTATATATAGTAGTGACTTTACTTCCAATAATTAATTATATAAATAGAAAATAAATTTTCTACATATAATTAGTCAAACGATATGAACAAAAGTCAAATTTTTATCAAGCCCAAATAAAAAAAAAGTTCAAAAATTTAAGTTAAAATCAACCATTTATTTTAATCATGCATTTCCTGAAACCCGCAATTTTTATCAATATTTCAAAAATAAATTTATCAATTCTCATTAAAATTTACTAAAAATTTATTTTTTAACAAATTTTGTCAGCTCCCAACATGTACCGCACACCAGCCTAATGTGCATCTAAAACCAGCAAGTGTGCCCCACGGGCATGGCGCAGTTGTAAAATATGAGAGTTCTCTAGGAGTATCGAATGTTCGAATCCTTGTGAAAGTTGGAAGACAACATTTATATTGAAAGGCAACATTTAAATATTGGAATGCAGAAGTCCACGGGGTGGAGAACCGTCGAATGTCTGGTCCAAATGTGTACAAACTGTGATCGCATTCGGATTAATCTAGATGGGGACCCAAGGGAAAATGTCACCACTCCGGAGTATTAGTATGACAAAACTTAGACACTTGAGTCATAAAAAACAAAAAAAAAAAAAAAGCCAAACAAGTGCTAAATATATTTCCTCAAAATTCGCCTTATTCACATGGTATGCCCAAACCCGTGAGAGGATAGGGCCCAAGAAACCCGTAAAATATTGGGCCCACAATGTTATCGGACGGCTGGAATACGCGGATCACGGGAATAACCTCTTGCTCCGGCAAGATCCAAATACTTTACATTTGGAACCCGTACAAAAAGCCCAACATGGACAAACAAGAAAAAGCCACGTGTCATGATAATGTAAACCATCAAAAAATGGAAAAATAGCACTTTTGATCCCTTATCTATTATGAACTTTTAATTATAGTTGCAAAATTAATCTTTAATCACAAAAGCCATCAAAATATCACATGTTCATATGTCCAACTTTATAAAGCTAAACTTTGCTTCACAATGTAGTTTGGTGCTTACATTGAAATGAAACGTGAGAATTTAACAAAGATTTAGGTTTTTTCATTGTTAAGGATTAATTGGACAACTATTATAAAAAATCCAGGATCAAGTTTTATTCCCCAAAGTTAGTGATCGGCTTGCTATCGAGCAATAAATTGAAGATCAACTTTTTATCATCTTCGAATAGCAATAACTATCTTTTGATTGGCGTTGCAATTGCTTTTTTATTGAACCATGATTGGCATTGCATTACTGATAACATTTTTTTTGGGGGGCAGCTTAACGAAGTCATGAAATATTTCGATTTATCAATTTTTTTTTTATAAAATGATGATGCAATATGTAGTGATCAAATTGTTACTACAGAAATTAATTGAGGACCATCATTGCAATTTTCTACAAAATATAATCATGCGCCGCTCATTAATATCTGCATGTATCATGTATGTGTGTGAATATAACATCTATTTTTATATCTACAGAGAACGAGAGGGTGAGATAAAGATTGCATTTTTCTCTACTCTCTCCTTGGATTTTTTTTGTAGGGATTATTTGCATTGTAATTTGAGAAGAGGTGAATAAAAATCACAAAATGGAGTTGTTTTACTATATGGTGTTTGAGGGATTAGCAGCAATAGTGGATGTACGGAGCTGAGTAAATTGAACAAGGTTTGGACTAATACTTTATTGAAGAATGAATGAAAAGAAGAAGAAAATGAAAGAGATGAAATAGAAACTGAATTCAATTGTATTACTACCTCGTTAAAGAGAGTATAACTACAAAATACAATCAACTAACAAACTAACTACTTCTAACTAATCCAGCTTTACAAGCCAATACAAAATGTACACGTGTATATGATGAACTAATCTAACTGCCTAACTTATAGTTGGCCCCATTGCTGTCTTCTTCCTTTGGTTAGCTGCTTAACCCAGCTGCTTAACTTCCCAGCTCCCAGCTTATATTCTGTTACTCTCCCTCAAGATGGAGTGATGATTGATAACACCCATCTTGGACAATAGTGTAAATAGCAAAGAAGTCGGTATAACCTTTGTAAAAATGTCATCTAATTGATGAATAGAATGAACTGGTAATAACTTGACAGAACCATCAGTCACTTTATCTCGAAAAGTGGCAATCAATCTCTATGTGCTTAGTGCGTTCATGAAAAATAGGATTTGAAGCAATGTGAATTGCCGCTTGATTATCACAAAAAATCAATGCTGGATCTTTGTTAAAAATTTGGAAGTCATGAAGCAACCTAGTTAGCCAAATCAGCTCACTAGTAGTGGCAGCTAGAGCATGATATTCAGTCTCAGCTGAAGATCTGGATATTGTGGTCTGTTTCTTGGCTTTCCAAGAAATTAAAGAATCTCCAAGAAAAACACGGAAGCCGGTAACTGATTTCCTTGTATCTAGACAAGCACCCCAATTCACATTTGTAAAAGCCCTTAACTGAAAAGAAGAAGTTGCAGAAAACATAATTCTTTGTCCTGGACTGGCTTTAATATACTGTAACAAGTGATGAGCCGCATCAAGATGTGGCTTCCTGGGTTGTGACACATACCAACTTAATTTGTGTACAGCAAACGTAATATTAGATCTAGATATGGTTAGATAAAGAAGTTGACCAATTAGTCTTCTGTGCATGGATACATCTGTAAACAGATCTCCTTCATCTGAACGAAGTTTTAGTTTAGGATCAATAGGTAACACAACCGGTTTACATGCCTGGGATCTAGTATCCTCAAGTAATTGCAAAACATATTGTCTTTGTGACATTGAAGATTCCTTTGTCTGATCTTGCGATCTCCAAGCCAAGAAAATACCTTAACTTCCCAAGATCTTTTAGCTTAAACTGATTATGTAGGAAGCCCTTCAGGGAAGTAATTTCGTGTTGATCAGAAGCAGTAATAAGGATGTCATCTACATATACCAATAGAACAATAAATATGCTCCCAACTCCCTTTGTAAATAATGAATAATCAGATTTGGACTACTCAATCAAGAAATTCTTTGTAATAAAAGAAATAGAATTTAAAATCAAGTAAACTCAATGATTTTTAATAAATAAACTATCTAAATATTTCTTGTAAGTTGTTGAAATTGAATGCAAAAGAAATGGTTATTTATAGACCAAAAGATTGAGAATCAATCACTTTCGGTTGAGCAATTTCGGT